ACACCTGCTTTTCTTCTACTCCGTTGGTTTGCGGGTGCTTCTTAGGTTTGCTTTGTTGAGTTATGAGGGCCTGCCGCTATAGAAAGATGGATTCCTTCCACAACCGACCCTCGACTGAGAAGATCCGCATTCCACTGCCAATTCAGTCGCACGGAATCGAAAACCCCACGGAACTAGAGCCAGGCGGCGACCGTGAAGACCAAGAACAGCTGGTCTCCAAGAACGAACGGCATCCAGTTCTTCTGGTGCACGCTTCCTCGGATTGTTCGCAAGGACTAAGGGTCCCGGCCTCCCTTCCCTACTGCCGGTCAAAGAGTCCCAACCGGTCTTGTGCCAGCATCTTCTCTGACAGCTGATCCGCGAAGTCCTGCGCAGTTGGAGGCATTCTCTTCATGATGGTCTTCAGGGTGTCTTTTACGTCACCGTGAAGTGTTCTGTCTTGGCACTCGTGCCGTCTCATACTAACGCTTGCGAATGCTTGCGACATGCTTCATGCGACCACTCAAAGCGACAAAGTTTGTTGGCCAATCTAATGTCTCTTGGAGATTCTCTCCATCCAATCCAAGCCCACAAGCACGCTTACGAAGCACTCGCTCGAACTGTCTCTCGCACAATGGATTCAAGTCATGGGCCTTCAAACTTCAAGAACCTTTGAAGGGGCGGTCTGCTATCCGTAACCACGGCCTACATCCTTCCAACCCGTCGCTATGGCCATGCAGGCACATGAGACTGAAAAGCAATGAATACCAGGTTTCAACCAATGCGAAGGTTTAAAAACTGTCGACCTTGCTAACCTCATGAATGAAATCAAGCCCAGGGTCGAAGGTCAGCAGCACCTTCTGCAGGCACTCTACCTCCGAACAGTTATGAAAACATTCCGTCTACGACTTGAGGACACGCCTTTTGCCTGGAGCAGGCCGGATTAGCACCTTTGAGTATGTAATGTAGCGCCATGGGAGCTGCCGCGCCTTTAACTCCTTGAGGTTTTCCGATGCCTCATCAGGCATCTTCAGAGGGCATAGGTATTGTCGATGCTGGCAAGGGTAATCCTCCCGAGCATGGAAATCAGGACTCATAATCATAGCCCCTTCTTTGGTCAGCCATGCCTGCAAAGCAGGCGCCACACCGGCAAAAAGCACAAACGGCTTGCCGCGAAGAGAAAACAAGCGTCCGTCATCGATGCCGACACGGCGCATGCCTGCAGAGAAAGCTGACTTAACAATCGTCCTTAGAATTCAACCGGAGTCAGAGGCCGCGCCTGTTGAATGCGTGCAGGAATGCTCCTGGAACTTCTGCATCCCGATTTCGTGCCTTGACTGCCCCGGGTCTGTAGAGCTGACACGCCAACCCCATCACTCGACTGGAGAGATTGGCCCAATGGAAGGCCAAAGTCTACTCTGGAACATACGATTCAGAATCACTGAAACCTTTTCTGTCCACTGTGGTATACTGTGGTATTTCCAACTCCTCCTGGAGCGGGCTCCAGAGTTTACAGGATGGCTATCCTGTCTCATCGGCGAGCCTTGCATCCGGCAGCAGCCCTTTGCTCCAAGTTGCACCGGCACAAGAGGCGAAAAGTCACGACGCGTGATTGCCTGAGCCACGCATCATCGAACAGCATGACTACCCAAAGTACAAGGCAATTGAGGTCAGCGCAGCCATGACGCGGCTTGTGGCCTGTCCCGAAGTGCAACACTTGAACACAAGCCATAGCCGCTTGCACATCCTGGAAGCTCTGGAAACTAATTACATGAAAATATCGACACGGGAAGCCTGATTCCGACCTTCGACTCTCGGCAGAGACGTCACCGGGGAACCTCACGGCGGAACGCAGCAATCGGTACAAGCATGCATTGCCATCTATGAGATCGAGGGATGCCGTGCGTCGATAAACCCACAGGTAGACGACAGTGCCTAGATCCCAGTCGCATCTTACCTGCTAGCCTCGATCAATCGGTCTTTCCTGAGGCGAGGTGCCTCGCCCATCCCAGGCGCAAAGGTTCCAGGTCCCGGCCCTGACAAAACTGTACCCCGTGCTCTGATACTTCGACAGCTCGAAGAAAAACCAGTCTCGGAGACACTACTGAGCGCTGCCCGAAGGACGACATGCTGAGGCTCGTAGCCTGTACGTCATGAGGAAAACATCCTCACCGCGCCAGCCTAGGCATCTTGGCACTAGGGCATCTTAGGGTTCCAATCCAGAACATGATTTCTGATTTGGCAAGCGTTCTTGTACATGCGCCGTGGGCAAATGCCGCGGCTCATGGACATGGTGTCCAGCTCTACAATGAAACGGGGCAGAGCACATGCTGTCGCTCTATGGGATGAAGGCAAGCCTCCTGCTGTGCTACATTTGCTACATGCAGCCAGAAGGCGCAGGGGCAGCAGCGATGGATTGTAAAGTGCCCAGGCTTTCTTCTTCGGGGCTCGATGCAGAAGCCTCGACGACACGTTCAGGACCTGGTCATAGCAACGGCACAAGTCAGCCAATCCACTGTTGTTCTGCGCCAAGTCTCCTCCACGGGCGCACCATGAATCAACAGCTCACCGAGTCTGGCCTCAGCTCGAAGCCCGACCAATGCTGCGGCAGGCCACAAGCAAAAACGACCGGCAGAACTATGATCGCACCTGCAGCTAAGGCATTGGGCTTTCCAAGTGCCCTGCGTGTGGGAATTGGGGCAACAGCTTCCACGCATTGGCTCTGCAAGGCATAGCTTCACGCAAGATATCGGCGACGGTCTATTATGGGTTTCAAGAGTACTTGGCGATCGTGGTTGTCAATTCAGCTTCTGTGAAAATGCTGCTTCCGACGCCACCAGACTCGTGTGGAGCGCAAGTGCCCCTCCCCACCCCACCTGCGAATGAAGTTGCTGGAGCTATGACACGGCGTGAGCTAATCTTGAAGATGAGGACGGGGCACTCATGGCCGCGGACGTACCCATCAGCTTCTCCGTTGCATAGCTGTTCCCAGAAGTTTTCAATTGTCCGAAGTCGTAGACTCCTGGCGACCAGTAACGGTCTCAACAAGTTGTTGTGCACGTCAAGGTGCGATCGCCTCATACGCCGCAGCATCTCGACTACCGCTGGCGCAGGGATGAGAATGTACATGCCCCGAACACGACCGACTGCCAACAGCTGACACCCAGCTTGTAGGATCTTGGGCAGTCCATGGCTGCCAGCTCGATCGAAAGTCGCACCCGCAGCCTGCAAAACCAACAGAGATCTGTCGCCCGAAGGTACCGACATCCAGCACTGAACGACACATGGCCTGTGCCTGGACCCTGGGTTGTGTGGTTAGTGCCGTGCGTGCGACTGTTAGGGAGCGCGGTCCTGCCTCCTGCACGTAACCAAGGCTGGCATACTGATACAACAGCGCCAGCCACAGCATCCGTTTCGGCAGAAGCCATTGCAACTCAAGGCTGCTACCGGTATGTGCCATTCAGCTTTTGAATGGCTAAAGTCCAGATGCACTGGCCCGAACTTCTACTCCGTGGCTCGAATGGACATTGTTTAGGCTGGAGCGTTCCTTTCAGAAAGCTGCACCAAACATTTAATAAGTTCAGCATGGGAAGCTGGTGACCGTGGATTTGGACGTGTGTGGTTGGGTGGGTTGGCACCAAGACAGATGACTCTGAGCATGCGGCTGCGGGTTGCGATCATCACATCTACAGCGCTTCCAGCCGCAGGGCAATCCAACCTGAAATATGCAGAAGCCGGGAGGAGGGCTAGAGATGGCCCTAGGGAGACGGAGAGTGCAGAGAGGAAAGCAGGGAGTAAAGTGAGTAAAGGAGAAGAACACAGGCGGGAGAGTGCGTGGGTTTAAGCCTATAGATGCCAAGAGGCCCCAGGCCCGCCTGGCGAATCTGGTCTTCCCAGGATCAGAACCTGGGGACTGCAATTGAGCTCCATGAAGCGGCTAAGCGGTCTCCATTCTAGAGCTCCGGTTCTGACGTGCTGACGAGATGCGCCAAGGAGGGCGAGGCAGTGGGACGCCCGGCCACAGCGCCCGGGGCACATGTGCTTTAATTTGGCAAAGGTATATGGGATGCCCAAGGTTTGATGTGAAATGGTTGACTGATTGACACTACCACATCTCCCAATGAACTGAATTTGGCTGACTGTGTGTCATTATCCTGCCCTGTGCTGCCGTTTCCGAGCACGGCAGAAAGGCTTGGTTGTGGCAGTCCAACAATTATCAACTGGTTTAGACTGACTCGTCAGAAATCCAGGCCTCTGTGTTGACTTCCACTTTTTGCAATCTCTGCGGACGTCGGGTCCGTCCGGAGCAGGGTCGAAACTGACCACAAAGGCATGCTTCGTAGCCGCCTCTTTGGTCTTTGGCCTTAGATCTCGCGGACCTCATCAGGTCGGCAGCCACTGGATGCCTTGCCAGAGCTCCTCGACGACCCAATTGGGATTCGGGTCTTAGACACAGCCGTTCACCGCAACTCGAAGGCCCCAATTCTACCGTTTCTAGAGTACCAGCAAAGCAGCAGGCCTCCAGTTTCGACCGTAGCACCTCCACATGTGGAGTCGACACCCTAGGCCCTAGACCAGTTCCTAGTGCCCAAGGAGTGCCCAGGACTGCCAGAAGCTTTGCCCAAACAATCCGTGGGCCTCGATTGTCCGTTTCGACTTTCGCTGTGCCAATACGAGGCTTTGACGACTGTGCTCCGCGGCCTGCCGCAGACACAAAGCAAACCAGACTTTCACCAGATTTCACTTCCGATCCCAGCCATGGCCTCGTTCGACCTGCCCAGGCGCCTGCGACCGGCGAAGCTTCAAAGCAGTGAGGCTTTCTCCGGGCAGCTGAGCAAAGGGTCAACAGTCAACAGGTCAACAGCAAGGCCCTCCCCTTCCTTTCTCAAAACACGTCCACTCAGCTGCAGAAACAGAATGGAAGACCAGCGGAAATGCAGCTCACGTTTGTGAAGCAGCATAAAAAATATTCTCCGGAGGATGATTGACAAGGTGAGACTGAGGAAGGTGCATTCTGAAGCTCAACTCGCTGTCATTACGTGCTGGAGGCCGAGCTCGCCGGAATTCTTTCTCCGCACGGCTGCGGCAGCCGCTGGGCCGTCGCCGAAGGTCATTTGGGCTGCTGAAGCTGTGACCATTTTTCTGGATGTTCGAATACCGCGGTCTCCATACACGGACCTGAAGAGGTCATCTTTCCGAAAAGCCTTCATGTCCTGCGAGGCTGTGGGGTTTGAAGTTCTTGCAGGAGGCGCATGCCCTTCGGCTGGAATTCCCGCGAGTGCTCGTTTCAACCTGCCCTCCATTTCAATCATTCCGAATTCGATTTTGATAACCGCAGCATCTATGAGAGCCTCAACTGCTCCATCCGTGTGAGCGCCCTTTTGTCGAAGCTCGCCCAACTGGTCGCCGCATGAGTCAGTGATCGCTTCGGTTGTTGTCACTGTCACTTCTGACGTAGCCGGGGAGGAGTATCCGATGCAAAGCGTCTCTGCCTTTCTGGAGCAATGAGGCTGCTCAATTTTCATGTCCTCATCGTTGTTTTCTGTAGGTTGTCGGAACCTGGCCATGCCCAATGACGACGATTGCATGACAGATGACTGCCGAGACGAGGGCGCGCCGCCACGCAGGATGCTCAAGTGCGCTGCCAAGGTATCGATCCGCTCAGACAGGTGGCCGAAGTAGTGCTTGGATAGGCTGTAGAGGTCTTCTTGCAACTGCATCGTCTGCAGCATGTTGTACTTGATGAACCTGGGTGCCGTCTTGGAGTCATGAACCCATCTGCTCAAGGGCCCAATAAATTCTCCCACTTCGATCGTGCCGTTGTTGTCCACGTCGATCATGCTGAAGAGCTGCTGCAGGTCATTCTCGTCGATGTCCATTACTCTGAGCCGGCTCTGGAAAACTGGATCACGGCGAGCACCCCGAATCAGCTCATCGAGCGAAAGCTGCCCGCTGCCGTCCTTGTCAATCCGCGCAAAGAGCTTTCCCAGGGCTTCTCGATCCTTCTCAATGTCTTGCTCCATTTCTTCGGCAAGGTTCAATATGTCATTCTGCCTGGCCTCTGCGAAGGTGTCGACAACGACCTGAGCGTCTCTCACGTCAGGGCTTCGCTTCAACCTCTCCTAGTGTCCGAGATTTACACAGGTGCATTCCCAAAGGCCCCTACAAGCTTTACAGCCATGCCGCTGCCACGATGATGTTCAAAACACCAAACACCAGCGACAACTGTGAGAGGACAAAGATGACTGCCGTCTCTGGATTCCTCTGTATGACTGGAACGGCCACCTGACCCCAGCTATCTCCGGCAATCACTGTCTTGAAGAGTAGCAAGGTAGCCTCCATTACTGAGCTGGTGGACGTCCTGCAGTATGGACAATTGCTAATGATCTCGTGCCCATCTTCAACCATTTCCTGAATGATGGGGTGCACCACTTCTACCAAAAGCATGGCCCAGATCGTCATGATCACGAAGCAGAGCAGGAATGACCAGACCAGAGTCCGGAGGCACGTAGCCATCATCGTAACTAATTTCTGGAGCTCGCGCAAGGCGCGGATTCTCTTGAAGATGCGCAACAAGCGGAAGATACGAGCCAATCGCAAAGCACGCATGACACTCAGACTGCTCGTCACATCCGCAGGGGCCACGGCATTCAGCAGAACCTCCAAATAGCCGCACAGAACTATTGTCACATCGAGAAGTGCCATCCAATCAAGGAGCACACCGATGAAGCCTTTTCCGACGAGGAGTAGCAAGACTTCAGTGCTGTAGAGTGCCAAGCTAATGTCGGAGAACAGCATGAAGAACTGCGGTGGATGACTGAGGCCGGCTGCACGCGCATCAATGTCTACCCATGTACAAACGGCATCAACCAAGACGACGCAAGCCATAATGTTTCCGACGTAGTAGTTCGTCACGAACCACAAAGAAAATGTTTGCACCTTCGCAATTATCGTTCGCTTGTTCTCTGTTGGCACTTCCTCCGCTGAACTGTTGTTGTCTTCCTTTGATCGCGCGACTCTGGCACAGATCTTCTCAGTCACGTGGAAAGACAAGCAACACCACTCTGCTGAGAATCTGCGAACCTCTTTCTACCTGCATGCCCTATTGTGAATTTCCTCCAAGAAGCTCCTTTGATAAAGTCCCCTGCGATGACGGAGGCCCGTTGCCTCCTCCTCGGGTTCGGAAGCCATGCTGCGTAGCATTTTGAACTCTCTCGAAACTTCGCGAGTGTTCTCCGCACAGTCTTAACTGGGTCAGATAGGGCGTGAGATCATTGTCAGCCATCACATTGGTGGTGTCACTTCGTATCAAAGACTACACTCATGACTCTCATTCATTCCTTCACTCATCCATTCACGACTGCTACTTGTAGCAAGGCCGCTTCTGAAGCCGGAGGCCAGGATTCTGTGCAAAAGCATTAAGAGTGCCCCCTGCGTTCAACATTCCTCCCCTTCGCTCAAACAATCGCAGACCCAACAGCCCTTCTCCTGGGCATCCGGCAGGGCCAGACAGACGAAATACTTTAAGAAGAATGGCACCTACGTCAACCTGCTTGCCGAGGCGCGATCTTTCAGAAGGGTCTGCGCCTGGGTCTGCGCAGGAGGCTTCTGAGCTCTGCTTCGCAATACTTTTCATCGAGTTGTTCTTGCTCGCGGCACCACGAACCTCTTCCGGGTCCTGGCTCAATGGGCTCAAGTTGGTCAAGGCTCAAGTGCTATGGAAAAACTTGCGAGTCCCTCTGGTCGTCTCCCAGCCTCTGAGCCAAAGCCCAGGTCGTGCCTCCTTAAGCCGTCAGCCATGGCTCCGAGGAGACACGGGTCCCGGAGACTCGGGCGGCTTCTCCGGGCAAATTTTTGCCCCGATGCTTCAGCCGACTTCAAGGCCAAGGATTTGATGATTTCAAGCAAGAAATCGCAACGCCCCCCGGCTCTACAGCGGCTGCAGTGCTACGACTCGGCCTTCGGGCCGCTTCCAGATCATCTCGGACGCCGATCAGCTCCTGAGCAGAAGTCTGAGGAGTCTGAGTGAATGCACCACATCTCTCGCACTGACCATGACGCCCCCCATTTTCACGCAACTTGCTCTGCTGTCTGCTACCGCTTACCCGGCCAACCAAATAAGTATGCCGGTGAAGATTGCGGAGATGGCAAAAGGCAGTGCCAGATTCGAGAGCTTGTCCTCGGTGAGGCATGGATTTCGTCATATCAGGGAACAGCTGGAAGCCCTCCAACCGCAGATTAGGCGCAATTGGAATGCTAGTGAAGCCAGCCACATCCTGCAACGCATCTCTGCTTGCAATACGGGACTCACCGCCACAGCACGTGACCTGGTAACCGATTGTGAGGGACGCGTGGCGCATCACATCCTCAAGACAGAGATGCGCGCGGCATTCGAAAAAAAAGCTGGCGCGACCCTAGTGCACAGCCATTGCTTTGCTCCAAGACGCAGAAAGCTTTCCGGCCAGCAGGCTGCTCTTGTTGTTAGCTAGCCTTTGCACACAGCCAGGACGCAACAGAAGCAGCAGGCGAAGGAGGCGGATGAATAGCATGAATATTGGTAGTGTTGTTGTTGTTGTTGTTGTTGCTGTTGCTGTTGTCGTTGTTGTTGCTGTTGTTGTTGCAGCTTTTGCTGTGGTCCTTGTCGTTGCCGTTGTCGCCGCGGCAGTGGGAGTGGGAGGAGTTGTCGTCGTCGTCGTCGCCGTAGCAGCAGCAGCAGCAGCAGCTGTAGCGGGTTTGGGTTCCCTGGCATCCTTGCCAGGAGCTGACCAAACAAAGTGAGCGACAGCATTCCAGAAGATGCACGACGGCGACCGACCGCCACAAACGAGGAGAGTGTCATTCAATGCATGGCCGGGCCGCGAGTCTCGCAGTGAGTTGACCACCGTGGCAAAGTCGTCACCGTCTCTTTCTGGCACTACGAAGAAGCGCACCACCACCTACAATCTACAACATCCGAGAAGATGGGACTTTCAGAAAGGCTCGAGACCTGCCTCCTCTCCGAGACGCTCCTCAAACGGCACGGCGCTGCTGACTAGGCTTGCGCCAGTGGACTCCAATGTTTCAATACCTCAGAAGCCCAGAACCACAGCAGACACGCGAAGACGCGGCTTGCAACTGTGAAGGCGAGAGTCTGTTGCGCGATTTCAGCATCGAAGAAACTGAAGAAGCTGGCCGCAAAAATCTGCCATACACGGAATTCCTCAGATCGTGGGCACTAGGCTTGCAGGTAGTTTTCGGCACTGGAGAACCCAGATTGCAGATGTACTCACTTGCAGCACGAGGGCATCAGGATATGGCTTTCCTTCACCTTGCAGGCCTGAGGGAGCTCTTGGCGATAGTAGCCAAGTAGGTTGCACACACCATGCCATGATATGCCATGCCACGCCTTGGAGAGCTCGCCTCTGAATTGTAGCAGCAATGCAGAAATCGAATGAGAGCCAAGGGAATGGCCTGCGGCAACATCGCTTTGCTCGTACCCCTGGGATTCCTGCAATTCCTGGGATCTTCTAGGGTCAGCCTTGATGCCTCTAAGACTCTAAGCTTTCAACTCCAACTCAGCCTCCAAAACATGCTCCTGCACCCTTTGAGCCTCTCGCAAGTCAGGGCCGTCAATTCCTAGGGAAAATCCCCTGCCGCCATGGGCCCTTCCATTCGCCTTGACACAGGCGCTCCACCCGCGTTAGGCGCTTTTGTTCTACGGACACTGATGGCCCCCAGGCCCCAAGCAGGAACGCACGCGACCGTCCCGCTGCCGCTATGGTGGGGTGCGTATGACGTTCTTTCCGCAGTCTCGCCGCGACTGGATTGTCTGGGGATGCGCAATTCCTGTCACCTGATACGTTGGTGGTCGAGTCGAAATTCTGCCTTCCCATCCTCTGCCATTCGCTCATCGTCTTCCCACAACAGTCCCGCGCTCCGAAAAAACAGTGCTCCCAATTTTTGCCTCCTGTGCTTGGAAGCGGCTCGTGAAGAATCGCGCAGCTGCCACAGTCCCATGCGTGCTTGAGGGTGCATATTAGAGCCTTTTTTTGTACGCAGGGTCTGCGGAAGTTCGTGTTTATTTCGATCTAGGGGTGGCGGTCAAGTGTTGCTCCGTGTCTTATGCAAGTACGGACTCAATTTGTGATCCTTTTCACTCCACTGGTTGCCGCGCACACCCATGCTGTGCGCTTTAGGCGCTTCGGTGCTCGTAAAGGCGTAGGCACACTTAAAGGCTTGGGCGGCATTTCCGGACCCATCCTACCCCGGCCATGATGTAGCAGGAGGAAAAACCCTGGCAACAAAAAGTGGCGCTTGAAAATGGCGTGCCATTCGGGCAAGAGTCTCAGCGACAGTCCGGAGGTGTCAGCTGCAGAGTCTGCATAGTGGTCCAGCAACGCCTGAATCGTGGTGCCTGCGAGTGCACAGGTTAGGTCATACTCCGTCTAACATCAGCCACCTATGAAGCATGTGTGTTTTGGCATGGGTGATGGCTGGAAACCAGTGTCGGAAAGTAGTTCAGACCTCATGCTTAAGATTGATGACCATCAGGAGGAATCCTGCGATCGACAGACCAGATATGAAACAAGAAAATTGATCTTGCTGGCTGAGGCTTCGAGACAACGCCTCTGCCAGGATTCTTGACCAGTCGTGGCCATGCACTACGTACGGCTCAGGACATCTACACAGTCCTTGACATGGTCAGTCATCAGTCATCGTCGGGCCTGCCAAGTGCAACTCGCAGGGGAGCATTTTGCTCCACTGCCGCGCGTCCTGAGAATCCACTGCATTGGAAAGGGGCCGTTTTGCACGCGCACACACACACACACAACACGCCCACTCTCTCCCCCTCTTCTTCTTACATATGTCTGCGGTTCGAGGCTTGGTTGACTGAAAGTGGCCCCAGTGTCGGGGAGTGGTTGGGCTGCTGTGTTGTAGGAGTGCGCAAGTCAAAGTACTCACAATATGTCACAATGCAGTTTTTCCTCGCTGGTGCTCACATTTGGGTAGGGGAGACACATACGCCCTCTGACTGATACAGTCAAGGATTGAATGGCCACACAAGCGCAAAGCTTCACATTCAATCATTTGGCTGTCCTCGTCACTATAGGATGTCTGTAGGTCATCCCCAGTCAAAGGATCTCCTGCCGGCTGCGAAACCTGGCACAAACTTCTCCACACCATTTCGAGATCAACCCTGTCAGCATTCCTACAACCCGCCGGACGTGAGCCCACAGAACGGCATCTTCAAAACAGTCAAAATCGCTTGTCGTCGGGCAAACTTCGGCCTTGCTCTTCATGGCAAGGCCAACGTTTTTTGATGACCTGGCACAGCCGTGGGTCAGGTGAGCTACGTGAAGGAGTACGTGCGCTCGGTTCTCCTGTGGGACGCCGCTGTTTTTACTGGCTGTGTAGAGAGGAATTACAGTGTAGGATGGTGGATCGATTGAAATTGCGTTGCGAGGATGTATGTATGTATGTATGTATATATATATATATATATATATATATATAGCATGCATTTTCAATCTGACTCCATCCTGTTGCAGTATGTTTGAATTCTTCCTGGTGCATGGGTTCCTCCGAGGTAGGCGAACAACGCCATACCATCCAAAACGACCTAGATGACAACAACATGTGGGTTCAGGTGCAAGGACACACCACTTGACGCTTGTTCCTACGCCTAACAGCCTTGCGGCTTCCCCTGTCAAAGGTCACAATCTAGGTTCTCTCTCTCTCTCTCTCTGCCGTTGCATGCACAGGGTCTAGCGGCTTTTGGGCGTTGCCCGTGACAGTTTCGCAATAATGTCACACCTTTCGTTTTCGTTGGTGTGAACTCCAGCATGCAAAAAGGAGAATCACATGGACCACATGTTTCTATGTTGCATCTCAGTTGCTCCTGGCCGTTGCCTCATACAGCCAACTGCACATGCGGTCTGATATCTGACTACTCGCTGGCCGTGTTAGTTCGTGGAGCTCCCCTCAGCAGAACTTTGCTTCCCGAGCGGCGTGGCGTCTCTTCTGTCAGATCGTACGGGAGGCACGGAGAAAAACCTGTTCATTCAGGCACATGCAAGGTTTCGTCCAGATTCGACATGCAGACTGGTAGTTGGGGCTTCGTGCTTCAAGTGTGCTTCGGTGCCTGAACAATTTGACCGTCTTGCCACAGAGCCCTTTTCCAGGTTCTGCTGATGCAAGCGCATCACCCCTTTTGCAGTACCTTGGAGGCCGAATCCACGGAAGTGGTGGGAGTAGCAACGCAGGAGAGGGCCACACGGATGCCAAGTGACTTGCGTTGGCCGAGGCATCACTTAGCCTCAAGTTGCTGTACTGTCTCGTCTGCTCAATGGCGGCAGTACAGTTTACAACAGTGCCCTGGGCAAATCTCAACTTTTTAGCCATGGCGGCACTGAGGACAGAGTCGCCACCGCCGCCCGCTCGACGCTTCGTTGCAGCAGCAGCACCGGCTTGGCTGGCTTGATCTGAAATTTTGGTCCTTGCACGAGATTGCTCCAAAAGTCTCGGAGCTACAGCTGAGCTGTGCTGCAGCGGCCAATCGCAAGCAGATAACAGTGATTGCTCATGCCGAGCGTCTCTGAATTTCTTGACGTTCACTCGCAAAGATGCCCACTATGCAAAACACCAGCACGTGGGAGAGGCCCATGGCTTAGCTCAACGACGAGCACAGTTGAGCATTGCAAACCCCCTGTTCTACGGCGCTTCAACTGTGGCGATGTAGGAATATTACCAAGCCTGCCTCCACATGTTCGAACATTGTTGCTTTAGGCCGCGACAGTCTTGAAGCAACTATGCAATACTGCACTCAAGCACGGATCTGGAGTTGGAGGAAGCCGTCGGCTCAAGTCTGCTAATGCTTGATTTCTGCATCCTTCTGTGGGTCAGATGTTGATTGCTGCGGTCTTCCTCCTACCCACTGTGAAACGATTAGTTACCGGGTGGCGTAATTGTTGCTTGATTGGAGCAGTCAGCGTCAGATATGCCCATACAGAGAGGATGGCATTTCTGGTCCAGGTTGGCATGTTTCTTACATGTGCTCTCTTCCAGTGCAGAAGCATGAAGTCGGCACACAAGTCCTTCTGCAAAGACTCATGGTGCTCTTGCTCCACGGCTGACGGATCCAGCTTCCGAGATCCTGTGCTCCATGAAACATACATGGGCAATCAGAAACGCTGCGGATCGAGAGCCTTGTAGGTCGGACACCTCCTTTTCAAGCTCTTTGGCTTGCGCCTCCATTTCAAGCCTTTTGTGGCACAGGTGCAGCAGTGAGTGCAAAGCGCGATCAGGGCTTCCAAAGCTCGACAATAGTCAGCCGTGGTACCTCTTCGCAGACAAAGCTTCTGCCTGGCTCCTCGCCTCCGACGAGCAAGGAAATCTATCTGACCGCCACTGCAAGCACCCACCGGCTTCCGCTTGTACAATTCGTGCCGAACACGCCAGCATCTGCTTTTGACATTGGAGCATTCACGAGCACAACCAATCACCCCAAACGAAAACGAGATGATGCTACGAAACCATTGCATTGCCTCCGCCTGACGACTTCTGCTTGGGCTTGCATCTCAAGTCTCGTCGTTACAGTCACCACGAATCGGCACCGGCCGGTGAAAAGCACGCTTGCTCACACTGGAAATCAGGCACCAGCGGCTGGATTTGTCAGTGCAAAGTTACACCTGCGTTTGCAAAGCTGAAACTGTTTAGACCAATGATGTCATACCTTTGAAGGAGTCGGCTGCTAAGAGAGTACTGCATGTTGCCGCCGACAGTTGAGCTTAAACAGACTTGCAGGGCATGTGCCACATGGTTCGACCTGTGTCGCCTCAACGTAAAACTTGGAACATGATTGCTTGGTGCATTGCCTGCCTCGGCTTCGTGCAACTAGAAAATTGGTAACAAGGGAACTCCACCAAAACGGCCTCGACAGACACGAGCTTGGCGCGACTCTGCATTTTTGGCATCGATACTGCGGGGCCAGGTGTGTAGCTGGCTCTGCCCGACGTAACATGTAGTAGGTCAGTCAGTGAGTGAGTGGGTCAGCCAGTATGCCAGCACGTAAGGAAAGGTAAAGGCAAAGTGAAGAAACAAGAACAAGGAATGGAAAGCCAAAGCAAAGAAGATAGCGCAGCAAAGTAGAGAAGAGTAAAGTAAACAGTAGCGAGGGCGGGTGTCGCCCCACGATTAAACTACGACATAAACTCTGTATGGGGTCATGTAAGTTAAGCAAGTTGGCAGTTGTCAAGATGTCGGCGGACGGCGATTGCTTCACATTTGATTCGGAATGGCAGCATTTCGCGAGAATGCATATAACAGAGGCAGCTACTGTGGCGGAGCTTATGTCCAGATGTGTATCTTAGGCCGTCGGACTTCTTTCCATCTTCGTCCCCAGAGACTGCAACGGTAGTGGCCAAGCCTCTTTCAGCGAAGACATCAGACTGCAGAGCGGTGAAGCGGCCAAGTTCTCGCGTGTGCCCGCCAACTGGCGCTGTGTCTCCGAGAGGTGATCCTTCATCATCCTGCACCCGGCATCAATACCGTTGAGCATGGCCAGAGCCTAAGATCATGTTTCCAAAAGTGGTTCCTCTGAGTCTCATCAAGCCGCCCTTGGATGGACCTTGGCGAAGCCCGAGCTACGGACACTCATGACACTCGCGACGCAGAGCAGGCCAAGCTGAGGGAAGAGCATCCTCTGGAATGCCGTCTCCCGCTTTTGGTTGGCCAGCTCCTCTCAATCACTTCGGGGAACCCACGCTCAACAGCTGCCGCCACGGTTCTTCCTCCTTCTACCACTACTACTACAGCTACTACGGCTGCTACAGCAGCTACAACAGAAGCAGGCTGCCACTGCTCCTGCTCCTGCTGCTGCTGATTTCTACCCCTACTCCTACTCCTACTGATGACTCCTGCTGTTACTACTGCGGCCGCTGCTGGTGAACATGCTACTTCTACTGCTGCTGCTCCTACTTCCACCACCACCACCACCACCACCACCACCACCACCACTGCCAGGGCCACTGCCGCTGCCACTACGACTACTACCACCACTCCTACTACGACTACCACTACGACTACTGCAACTCCTACTCAGTCCTACTCCTACTCCTTCTGTTAGTCCTGCTACGTTACCAATCCTACCACTCCTACAACTTTGCTCCAACTACTCCTACTATCTCCTACTCCTACTCCCACTCCTGCTGCTGCTATCGGATCGCCGCTACATGCCTGCGTTGCGGCGCCTGTGTGAGCCGCTGCTGCTCTGCTTGCTTGGAAGCGACAGCCTGGTGCCAGTGACCCAGTGAGCAAACTCAGATCTCTGAGCGGGCTGACCCTTGCAGGCCTCGCGCAAGCGGTGAAGCTCACCTTTGGAGCTCAACGCCTGGCCAAGCGTTCTGTCCAAGCAAACCTTTCCTTCGCTCTCTTGGACACCGAATGAGGGCTCAGATCAATCCCAGGGAACAGAAACCGCCACGAGAGTCTTGAGGCGATCTTAGGCAAAGCCGATCGCCTTTGTGATGTTGGCGGCTTTGCGGTAGCCGGACACGCATGCCCCTTGGATCTGTGCAGCAGCCGTCTCCTTTGCTAAGTCACAACAGCCCCGGTCCATCCTTCCGGAAGGTTGAGCGCACATGTGCGCAAGCCAGGCCAGATCCCCTTTTCGTGTTGATCTGAGCCGGAACCAGCTGGTTGGCTCGACTCTGAAAGGCTGAAGGTTAAGGCTAAGGTTCGACAGTATAGGTATCCACAGGGTATCCATCCGGCCCTATGCCGACACCTTGTAGCTTGCCTCGAGGACTGTGGCCAATCGTTCACACTCAGCTCGGGCAGCATCTCTCTTCTCCTTTGCCGGAGGTGCACAGAGGTTCCTTGGTTCATCTTTTGCAGCTGTTGTGGTCAAACGATGTCATGTGCTCTCTTCCTGCCCTTGAGGCTGCCGAAATTGACTTTTCTGCTTCCTCACAATGTGAACTCCAAATACCCCCAACGTCCTCCGCCTCGGCCACTGATTCCGTCAGCTCCTGACAAGAATCGGGGTGCTTTTCCTCACTGTCAGACCATCGGGTGGCCACGGCTCGCCTTGGTGCCCTGCTTGTCCACATTAAGAGCCGCCCTCGGGAAGGAACGCGCCATTCAGCCCTTAACGCCGTCATATCTGACGTGCAGCCGGGAATGGGCTTAGATTTAGATTCTGGCTCCAGGTCGCGGAGGTCAGCCTTAGACAAGCAAGAACCGCAGTGCCGCAGCATCGTGCAAGACCGACATCTGCCTGGCCTTTGTCTTTTCGACGTCTGCTTGCGAAGCTCGCGCGGCTTCTTGTGCTGCTTCCAGCTGCTGAGCCTCCATGCACATAGCCGCTGGCAAAGCAACGCAGAACATGATCCCAGCTCCATTCAACAGCGTTTGACGACGTTTTCCTCCCACTTGCATCATCCTGTGATACGCCTGCGCTGCTTCTTCGGTCAGCCGTCTTCTGTCCTGGAAACCGTAAACCTACACTCTAGCAGCGACTCTAGCATGCAGAGACCCGGCGTAGCTGCCTCCTCCTCTGCCGCTTCTGCTGCTCTCTGTGCCTTCGGACTACAGTTCTGGTATCTTTTTGCCTCCTGCACGGCTGTGTACACGAAGCAGGGTGAACGGTACAACAGTATAGCAAATTAGACCAACATATGTGTATGTCAAAGTCATGTTCAGCGCTGAACTCATTTGGCTCTTCATCACATACTACCAACTTCAGAATTGAGCTGTGTATCATCTTTCACACCCCATCACGGAATTTGGAAGTAGTCACACATACTTGCCGGCAAAATGCCACTATGCAGATTCATTAATTACAAATTCTCTTCTCAGGTTCGTTTTGGTATCAAAGCTCTTAATTTGTGCAGAACGGGAGCGAAGTTTGGCGACTTGAGTGGAATCCGCCTCAGCCTGTGCTTCTGCCTGCGCCACAGCCGCCTGCGCCACGGCCTTGTGGCAGCGAAGGGTACTTGAGCTGCGCAGCTGACCGCTACACTGTTCATCGGATTTCTGGGCTGGACACCAGCTCTTCCTGGATCCGTGACAGCTCAGCCTGCGCCGCCTGGACGCGCTTCCGACTTCTCGCTTCGCCGCTCCGCGATCTATGTGTCAAAGCAAGGCCTCGGCTGCCTCCCGCAGCAGACGCTGAGATTGAACGCAGGCAGCCTGCACTGGCTGCAAGTAGAAGTAGGCTGTGCAATCCGCCCACGATACCCACTTTAGCCGATAGCCTCATCGGCAGCCACTTGGTCGTCCATCTCCTCTTGTGATACAGACAAACAGTCTATAGCGACACTGAGACTCACGATCGACTTCACTGGACTCTCGGAATCCTGAGTCTTGCTCTTCCGAACGGAGATTTCCACCTGCAGGCGCAAGGAGAAGGAACCGGATCTGCGAATAGGGCCTTAGGACAGAATCTTCTGAAGCCGTCTGGCCTTCAGCTTCTCCATTTGCCGTTCCAAGACTGCCGAGCGGTCCTGTGCTGCATGGAGCACACTCTGTTTCATGCGGCTAAGATTTGCTACCTGCGTTCTGCCGGAGAAGCTCAGAGAAACTCACAAGGTCTGATAAGCAACACTGGCACAGTTCAGGAAACGGTAAGTTGTCAAGCAGGACGCCCGGCCTCCGCTTGCCTCTGCCGATCTCTTCCGCCGTCGAGCTCCTGTTATTTGAGCTGTTAGACTCGTGGCCGTGTTATGGTCTGTCCATGACAGGAAGGAAGGGCAGGAGAGTTGAGCAACGTGAGTACGTAGCACGTAACTGTTACAGTTGTGACGCTGGCTTACCGCAAAGCACCCACGTTCGATGACGCCATGTTTTCATGTTCGTGCCTCTTGCAAGTCTGAGATCTGGATGCTTCGCCTGGGCAGGGGATGCGAGACCTGCCCTGCAAACGAGTTACCTTGAGCGTCCTCAGTCAGCCTTGAAAGCTCCATGGTGTGATAATCATCATCCTTGGGCTGCGCCATGGCTTGGAAGCACTGCAGCGAGGTGGGCGTATGCTGGCATACTGGCATGAGAGGGTATGGAGGCTTCAGGTGGCTGTCGTGGCATCGGCATCATAGGCTGCAGGGCTTGAGATGAAAGCACAGAGAAACCGCAAATTCTGCACGGAGGCGCGACTTCTGGCACACGCCATGGAGCCTTTTCTGCCGCTGGCTTTGCCAAGTTGCTGGAACCAGTCTTGACAAACCTGTTGAACCGAGTCGAACCAGGAACGAGTTGAGTGCCAGCTCGCCCGACAGTCTTCTCTCGGTCACTATTTCCTGGTTTGTACAAAGCATGAGACTTCCAACAGCCCAGAGGTTCTGAACCTCACAGCAGAGCCTGTGTGTCAAGTTGGCACGGCACCAGAACTGTACCAAGTACCGCTGCCATCGAATCCGACCAGCACAGCCATCTTGAAGCAATCCCAGGATCAGGTGTTGATGAGAAGGAAAAGAAGGAAAGCGACCAAGCAACTGAGCCCGATGATCAGGCAAAGCCTCGCAAAGACAAGCAGGGCACAACTGGAGATCCGCTTTTCATGCTTCAAGCCACGTGCACTCGAGCACTTTCGAGGGAGCGACTGCTTGCTGTCGCTTGTTTTCAGAAGCTTTCCCATGCGCTTCATGACCTTCCAAAGAGCTCATGCGAAGCGAAACTGGGTTCAATCAACATACGTGTGGAGGGGTTTAAAAGTTGAGATAGTCCAAACTTAAAGCGGAGTGCAGACTCGCGGCAAAGTTCAGTTTCTCGGCTTCTTTGTCAATATCCTGCGCACCCGATCAATGGCATAGGAAGTAGTTAACTTCACCGCAGACGGCAAATGCCTCGTCCAGCTCCTCGAGAAGTTTCTGCTGCTCCTTGAGCTCAACATTCAGAATCCTCTCCAATGCAGAAAGCGAGGCCAAGTGACGAAATGACGCGAGAGTCGGGAAAGTACAGAAACAACTCAAGGCCATAGCAGCCCAGCGTCTGAGCTGTGTTGCCCAACCTCTGCGCACTCAGCGACAGCTCGGTCAGGTCCTCACTGCAACCAGCAGCTGTACCCCTCACCCAACATCTCATGTATGCGAACTGTGCTCAGGTGCAGCACATGGATGCCATTTCAGGAGTCATGTGGTCATCAAAGGCATCAGGCGCGCGGGTCGATGCTTCAGGAAGCCAATGAGCAGTCACTGTCAGACGCCAGTACCAGTTTCCACAGAGAAGAAGTCTGTCATCAGAGGATGCTGCCATGGCTACGCTTGAGTTGGTTTGGTTGGTTTTGCTCGAAATCCGACCGTTCATTTTCGACTCTGAGAGCTCGAGTGGATTTGTCACAAGGAGCCGACTACTAGGTTAGCAGCAACGTGCGGTGGGTCCTCGTCTTGCCTTGCCATGAGCTGCGCTTGTTGCTGTCTTTGCCTGTCAAGGAAGGCCTGGTTGTCCTGCCGGGCGCAGTGTTTCACACGGGGTCTAGGTCCCCAGGTTCCAATTGCGTTTCGTGGGCTCCTGGACGGCTCGGCTTTGTCGCTCTTCCCCTGAGACAATATTTCAGAAACCCCACGACCACAAGCGCTTGCAACTCGCCTCGCGGCTTTGCCGCTACAGTTGCTACGGTGTTCAAGTCATGCCCCATGCTGCAAGCAAGCCACTGGCACGTGCGCTAGAGGCTGCACTGGACAGCAGCGCCTTTCAAATGAGTCGCAGAACAGCACCAAGCTACCCTGACTCGGTAAACGTCCCGAGGAGACGGGCATAAATGCCTTGGACTCTGGTTTCGGGGTATGCGAGTCGTGTGTTTACCTTTATATCTCAGGACTGTATCTCAGAACTCTTCGGCAGCTGTTGTTCCAGCAGTCTTCCGCCTTCTGGTCGCTTTCCAGCTTTGCCCGTGTCTGTGGCCCGCGCATGTCCTTTCACTTCAATCAGCAAGCCAAACTACGGTGACGGCCGAACTTCTTTCACACTTTCGAAGTCCTTCTGCAGTTGCTCGAGTGTTTGACGCGACTCCGTCACGAAACGCCGACGGCTCGCCAGCTCTGCATCGCTGATCTGGAAGGTGCCACGGTTGCCTTCGACCATGCTGATTGTGGCCTGGGGGAGTGCTGGACGAACGGTTTACCCTACTAGTACCGAACTGCTTCTGTCAACACGATCACTCCAGCCGAGGCACATGTATATCATCCAAGTCCAAGCTCAGCTGCTCTAGCTCACCTTGCCGACACACCAAAATCTCCGCAGGAGACACACTGCAAAAGTGCGCCTGCGAGCTCGGAGTGCAACTCCTTGAAGCGGTCCGAGCGCGCGGTGTTCTCTGTCTGAAGAAGGCGACGCCACTCCGGAAAAAGGCCTCCAGACTGGAACCCAACTGCACTCTTTCACTCCTGCCTCTGCCATGCTCTGCCCCAGCCTTGGAGCTTTTGCATGGCTTTGGCCACCTCTTCTCTGGCCACATAGTATGGGTCGCTGGACGCAGACAGCATGGTCCACGCAGCGCCTTGTGTCAAGTCAAACGGCTGCAGCGTTGTGTACCGATATCACCGAGAAATGAGAGGAGCACCCAGCTCGAGGGCTGGCCTCCCGGCGGATGGCACTAAGGGAAACCTCTCTTCTCTGCAAAAGATGTGTGTGATTCCTGAAGCCGTGCTGAAGCACACCCTGTGATCTGTCTTGAGTTCGAGAAGGTCTGGAGTCTGGCTCTGCGAACTTCTGCCACTTGCAGCATGAATTGTCGTATCTCTGCTAGGAGCCAGTTTGAGCAGCCCAGTTGCTCGTTGCTCTTAAGCAAGAAAGCATGCATACAGATATCTGTCAAGAATGCAGACGTATCGAAACACACGGCCCTTCCTTGCCATGGCACTGGCCTGTTTCCAAGTCTTGACGTAGAGTCGTCGTGATGGTGCTGAAAGCTGTACAATTACACCTAAGCCTAGCACTAACTCTTTACAAGTAGGTGGCGTGAGCTGTACATGGCCACCTCTCACCCACAGCCTACCCAGCAGCATCGTCATGACTGGCAGCGGTAACCAAGATGGCCACTTTGACTTCGAAGATTTTCGAAGCGCAAGGAGACAGCCGTTCACCTCCTCCGACGTGTCGCCGCTGCCACACCACGCTGCTGCTGCTGCAGCCGCAGATTCAGATTACGAACTGACACTGAGTTCTGCCCTGACGGCGCGACTGTCGGGCGAGGAAAGCACGTTGGGCAGCCAAAGCACTGCTCTCGGCCGAGGTATTCTCATCGCCTTGCTGCGCCTGGCTCTCCTGGGCCCGTAGCCGCCCCAGCAACACCGGAAGGTTAGTCCTAAACTCAGCCAGCGAAGGTGTTGGCACACAGGTGTTGGGACTTTCGCCTGCACACTCCTTGTTGAGCGGAAGCTGGACAGCTTCCAAGCATTTTTCTCCATCCAAGCAGAGTGTCACTTCATCGAAGTGCACGGTTCGTACACTGACCTTCGGTGCACGCTTCATCGCCTCGTCGGGGAGCCCGAAGGGCACGTGCCTCTGTGGTGTCATCGGTGTGTTGGGCGTCCTTGGCGTCTTGGGTGTTTTGGGTGTCTTGGGGGTTTTGGGCTGCAAGGATCTTGGCGAAGGCGAGACCACCTGCGCGACTGCCTTGGAAGCCTGCGTCAAGCATCGCAAGGAGAGCGCCATCGGCACGAGACGTGACACAACCCGACACTACCCTGACTATCTTCAGTCTGAAGGTTGCACCTTTCTCTGAGTTGAAACAGCTGATGCAGAGGCAGCTGGAAGCTCTGATGCATGCAAGTGCTTCAAGAATCAAGAAAGGCCCGAGCGTCGTTCTGTATGCTGAAATGCAACAGACTTCCGCTGATGGATATTCTGAGCTAGAGCTATTGCAAGACCAATAATTTAATTAGTGAACATCTCGGAAGTTGACCAGACACACTCCTTCACCTGCGTCATCCTGCCCGACATGCAGTCCAAATCGACATCGACCAAGTCAGGCCTCTCTGCGATGCGAAACCTTTGGAGCTGCGATGCGTCAAAGCCTCTTAGACTCTTAGATCTGTCGCTCTGGACTCTCAACTTGGTGATAGCTGCCTTGAGAGTCCGAAGCCGAGCCGTCGTGAGCCAAGACGGCACGGAATCTCCAGCATCTGTCATGCTGTCGACCGTGCTGCGTTTGCAGGGGTATCGGCCACAGCCACACGGGAGCCTGAAAAACGCGGAAAGTTGGATCGCGAGCCGAAGCTGGGCAACCAGAGTCAGTCTCACACACGTCTGATGCTAGTAGGCTTGGATTCAGTTCATATACATGAGCAAAAAGGTGACCTAGGAACGCGGAAGGCAGAGCCTGCAGGTAGACTTGTAATGAACTGTACCTAGCAGAAAATTAGTGTAGCAATTAAACACATTAACACATCTTACGGAAGGGTTAGACGGGCTTGTGTCTTGGCTGGGCTTTGCTCCCTGGGTTGCATGGTTGTTCGGATGGCAGTAGTCTTCACTCTGCAAGACTCTAAGAGGGTAAACCAACCTACTCTTACTGAAAGACTGATTCCCAGGCAACAGCTGCCGTCCTTGCTGCATCAAATTGTCAAACAAGGTCTCGCCGTTCAGACACGTGGCAGCTTAACATGCGCCCGAAGAGCTTCGGGTCCGCCATGGATCGGCTGGCCAGCTGGGCCACCAGGGCCTTCTCGAAACCGGCCAGCTCCTCCTTCGCCGCCTCATTGCAGTCGCCGGGCATCCTCACCGTTGTAAGCCGTGGGGTGCCACAAAATCCGGATCCAATCGCACTGCCAGACCGCCGGGCCGCCGTCCTCCGCGGACACCGGGAAGAACTTGCCGCCCTTCGGGTTGGCCAACAGGTCTCCGAGCTTGATCGCCATGCTTGGCTTGCTGCTCATCCTCCCTTTTATTCCCCCAATAAAAAAAATGCCACCGGTCGACCGCACCTTCTCCCCCATGTTGCCGGGAGAGTGCCTTTGTGCCACGGTGGCCCTGGCGGGCATCTTCGTGGCCCTGTGGCTCC